TATCAGCAATCGTATGCTCTAACTGATGATGATAAAATCAACCGATGCATGTGCACAGTACAGTTTTGTTGATGACAGTCGCGAATCTCAATCACCTGCTTGGAGTCAGAACTGTCTTTAAAAACTCAACTTTACAAGAGGCTCTGAATATATCAGCGATAATAATAGATAGCACACATACATCTGATTGATATGTCCCCCATTGTCTCCTGATTTAACCAAAGTCGGCCCACAATGACTAGTCAGTGGAATGCCGACACAAACAGATCCAACAAGGATCCACATATGAGCGCTAACGGCGTTTCGATCTGAACAAACCCATATCACTCATCTTAACAAGTCAACGTTGTTGACTGCGTATGACTTTATGATGGCATATGTATCAACTCATCTGACTTCCTGAGTATTATAGACTATTTTGTAGAGCGGTTAACGCCACAGATACATTTATCTTGAGATTTTGCAGTTAAAGTTGCTCATAAGTATCGTGCTCAGAAAAATTATGGGAATACGGAGTTATGGTGAAGGAGTACGCGACTTTTGAGTGTAACGAGTTAACTATCAGCTGAACCTGTTGGGTATATCATGTATTGCTTGAATATGGATAATTTCAGCATTGCCCTGACCAGCGTTTTTGAGCTTTTTTGTAATCCACATGCCATCCAGATGACGGCAACTACAGTGTCGGGCTCGGCCAACTCTACTGGGTAGCCAAAACGACAAGGAATCTTGTGCTGTTTTGTTTGTATACATTTATCTTATGATTGTCGCATTTATTTGCATTTGTGGTTTGGTCATTAAGGAGAGGTTAAGGCATGTGATAAATAATGATATCACAAACATTCGCACCAATGACTCAAACCATATCAAGCACAGGAAATGACCTTAAATGCACCGTTCATGAATCAACGGGATGTTCACTTAAGAAGAAGTAAAAAGTCCCAACCGATGCAGTGCATTACTGTAATACATAAGCGTACCACCTAAACGATTTTTGAACTAGTAAATTTGAAACAATCTTATATCACATGTTTGTCCCCTACATTTAATGTTACTATTTATATGAAGCTGATCATGCCTGTAAACTGACGTGAATTCTGTAATTATTATTTTCAAGATATATACACATATCTGTTATTATTATTATCATCATCCAATTTGCCTGAGCACATTAAGAAGACGGTTTTTCAATTAGGCTTACTGAGAAAAAACTCACCCTTCACTAGGCCTTGAATTTCACCCAAAATATTTTAAGCCGGGTTAATTATTTAGGGGGATAGGATTATAACGTACAGATGATCTTTGAGCGACGTCAAAATAACCTTGAGGGAGTTCGCCAGCCTACTGTGATCTATTGAGGTTATAAACTAATACGAAAGATAAAAATGAGAATTTAGATTAAGAAGTTAGGTGTATGAATTGGAATTATGGTTTTCTTTCACGAAGTGACATAAGCTGTAACTTCAGAATCCCACTTAGCTGTGTGGATGAATGGATCTAAGATTAAATTCCTTAAATCCAATTAAATTTTTCACAAATTACAGTCTTGCTTTTTTCGGGCCTGATATGCATTTCTTATCCAGCTTCCTGATGTTCCCTATACAGTTTATAGAACTTCGTTAATTATTTGTTTTACGACGCCTAGTTTTCATCGTATATAGTGATTATATAGCAATGCAAACAATTCCCTTGCACATGAAAAGAGTATCGACAAATGTTCGTCGCATTCGTAGCATTCCTTGTGCGACTGAATTACAGCGTGGCCAAAATTGTTTACAGTGCCGTTTTTATCTCCAAGAAAGAAAAGAACATGCAACTTTAAGGTTTTCAGAATACAGAAAAAAGGCCTTCCTGATTTAACAGTGCCACATGCATCACCGAATCATGTTATCAAAGTATCGGGCTTACTACAAAAATGGTAATGAGTGAACGTATTTTCTGATACTTTCAACCTATTGTTAAAGCTGGAGTTGGTGGAGTAAAAGAGCTTCTAAACAGTAGAATCTTAAAAATAAAATCAACTGTTTGTTTGATGACACGCTGAAATCCTTTCGTAATTCAAGATATAACGAAAAGGTGATACAGTCACTGTATCATGTGATTAAAAAAACTAAAGGCGAAAAGTCCTGTTTGTGCATGGATTCAAAGACTCGTGTTGAACACAGGAAGTAAGGTGTAACCAGGAAAAGATAGGAATCCATGAAATAACTGAAGCGATATCAGCTGTTCTGTAATTATAAATATCTTATAGATAACTTAATGATGAGCTATATGTGTAGAAGTTGATGCCTCCTGGAAATAAGTAGGTATATGGGATTTGCTGACCATTTTAGGCACTAAAATCAGAATACCTAGGATGTCTATTTTTATGGAAGCAATAAGATATATTATGAATTCCCTGGGACTTATTAATTAATGAATTCGGAAGAATGAAGCTAATACAACGAATAAATTATTGCAATAATTAGGAGTGTTTGAATTATGTTACAAACTAGCAATCCCGAAAAAAAGTGATTTAACCAAGAAGTACTAAATGAGCTTGAACGAATGTATTGTATTTGGAATTCAAAATCAAGCAGTCATCAAGTACAAAGGAGTCACTAGTTCACACAAACACTACAGTTATATAGTATCGTTGATTTTACTAGGGCAACCTTGGAACAGGCCTTCGTGCTCTCTGTACCACGAATCAAATGTAACACTAAATATACTGCTAATTTCAAATTTAGTAGTTGAAGTGATAACTGAATCTATATATGTTACTTACATTTTGTTGGGTGTATAAGTTATTATTATTATTATTATTATTATTATTATTATTATTATTATTCGTAAACAGCTAATTCCAACATAAGTATTGTGAAGAAAGCATTTCGGGTTTCCTCGAAAACGGAGTTACATAAGTTTCAATAACATTTACGTACTATTCATCATATTTAAGCAGGTTTTACAGTACTTAGAAGAATACTAAGTTGACTTTAAAACATAAGAAAGGAAGAAAAAATAAAACGTGCCTGTAATTTAATAAGTATGTTCGTAAAACAGAATAAGAATAAATGGTATTACATGTATTACTTAAAATATTTAAAATAAATCACTATAGTAGTAAGATTTGATGGTAGGATAAAAGTTTATGCAGTAGTAGTTAAGAATGATGCAATGAAACTCTTTATTTGTATCAGAGGAGGATAGTCAAATATCAATTAGAGAGTTATAAATACGTGGTTAAGATAAGGTGATTCTGCAAAGTCAATTAACTTAAGTAGTCGTAAAATAAGATTTCGTGTACTTAATTAGAAACCCTGGAGGAGTAAGAATACAATTTATATAAAAGAAATAAAAAATGGATGAAAGTTGACCAATAGGAGTACGTTAAGACGTAAGAACCTTCAACTTGATCTTCTTAACTTTCTGCTGTCAGTTTTTCCACTTCCGACTGGGTTGCATACTACTTATGTCGACAGACATAAGTAGCATACATTATATTATCCGTTTGAATTGTTTTTCTAGATAATCCGTCAATGTTTCAAAGTGTTTGGAGAAGCTAATTATTGTGTATTCTTCTTGTTGACAGTTGATGCGTTAGACACATTCAAAGCCCTCAAGGTTAGTTTTCTATTCACTTGCCAGAATTCACTCCCTACACTCGACTAAGCTATCCATATTAGGTGAACAGCAACTATCTCACAATAATTCCTGTCTTTTTTGAGTTATAAAAAGTTGTCATTGAAGTCTTTATCTAAGAGTGAGGTCATATTCATATTTCTGACCAACCACCGACAGTCACAAGATTCATATCAATTCAGACTGTCGAATTCAATTACACAGTGTTTCTGTTATAAATAGTGACGGAGAAAAATAGGACAATAAACTGTCTACAAACTGACTCATCTTGTTTAACAAAATTATGCACTTATGTACTCGATATGTTAGACAAAATAAAGAAAAATGCAACTCTTATAACTCGTGTGATTCCGATTTTGTAGGTCACTTTTATATGAAGGTTTTTGAATTATTTGAATTTTGAATTAACTCCTCAAAAAATACTTGGGGATCGTTTTGTAATACTATTGAAGAATTTTTCAAAACTCATGAAGCCTTGTTCATTTAAGATTGCGCTTTTATAGTAAGATAGCTAGACAGTGACACGGCAGTATTTTGAAAATATAAATTCTTTACGACCAATGGATAGTTTTTTTTTGGAAAAATCCTCATCACTGTGTTTGAATCCAAGTTATCAAATTTTTTCCGGTAGACATTAAGTTAAACTTTGAAAGTACTCCATTCTGCTGTGAACTTATGAACGTAACTTGAAAATTCGACTTTTTGCTTATTCAATACTGTAACTATAGGATGTATAATTAATCAGAAGGGGATGTGTGGAGATTTCAGTATATTTCAAAGTTGAAATCATGAGTCAATTGAAACTAGACCACCGTTGGATGCCGGCTTAGTGATCTATCGGTTAAGGGCTCTGGCTCGTAACTGGTAGGTCCTGGGTTTGAATCTCGCTAGTGTGGGATCGTGGGTGCGCGCTGCTGAGGAGTCCCATAATAGGACGAAACGGCCGTCCAGTGCTTCCAGGTTTTCCATGGTGGTCTAGCTTCAATTGACTCATGATTTCAACTTTGAAATGTATAATTAACTTGAAAGAATATTTCGGAACATTTGTTTGCTGATTATCTTCATTTTCCTGTTGTGGTTTTTACCGTAGCAATACATGTCAATCGCAAATCGTTTTAATCGAATCTAGATACACAGGAAATGGAAGATATTCTTTATCTTTAGTACCATTAGTGGTACAGTAGAATCATTGCTGATGACACTGATTATTCCTTTAATTCCATAAGCTATATAGTCACATTTTATTTAGGCCAAAATTGGATTTGTCGTATGATGTATGCTTGAACTATGGAACAATAAGTCTTGATATTTTGATTGAAACCTTTGGTTTATAATAATACTTTTACACAAACTATAATTTTAAGAAACATTATAAGTAGGCTGGAATAAATATTTTAATTATGATATATAATACTAAATGTACAATGTATTTAATAATACAATCTGTTCCTCTTTGGTTCATCTAGTTCTCTCATATGGTAGTTTAAGTAAAAATTGGTTTAAAATCCATTTAATTTCTTTTTTAATTAGTCATATCTAAAGAATAATAAACGCTTTTGTATTTTTGTTTATTTGCTGAAAACTTTGTCATGTTTAAACATATCCCAAGTTAATGTTCAACAACTGTCAATAAGTTGACACTTGTTCATAACTAAACATACCGGTCTATTGGAAGACTGAATACTATTAGAATTCCTCTTGTTGAAATTCAAATCTTTTCATGGAAGCTATTCCCCGGTGAACTGGGTGAACCATAACCACTTGAACGATCATCTGATATTGTTGTGGAATCATGAAAGTTTATGTCAAATGGATTTAATAAAGAACATAATCTATTATTTGTGTTCCTAATTAATTTATTGTCACAAGGACTTTGTTCAGTAGTAATACGTGTTTTGCACTTAGTGAATAGTTGAATATATGAAGCAATACATTGTGAATAGTTGAGGTTCACTTGATATTTTTGATTATTTTCATCATCATAATCTTCATCATCTCCAACATCAGTGCAATTTTGTCTTGTAATCGTTTCATTTGAACAAATACACGAGTTAGCAGTAGTTTTATTACCAATAATATTCCCTTTTTCTGGATGGGGCAGATTAATATCTCGTGTAAAAAGGTGTGGAAATAATTCCATGTAATCATGTTCACACAAAATAATGTTTTCATGTAGATAAAAACGATCTCCAATACAGAACCTAAATGTTTAAATGAAATAAAAATCTTCATGAAATTTGCTTCTTTAGTTGATTTAAATGATCCAATAGAGACAACAATTTCATTAAAAGAAGGATAAATCTTATTTTATAGGACTACCATCAGTTACATAGTTACTGTTTAAAGGCGTATATCTTGTATAGATGAGATCTTAGTTCATTCGGTTTAAAATATTGAAATACAAAAATGAACTATACGATGCTTAAGGAAGTAAGAAAAACAGAACGGAATCTTATGAACTAAGATAATGGATACGCCTTAAGTGTAGAAGCTGTATTAAACAAATTAAGTCCAGCTTTTGTTTAAAAGAATCTGATTATCCATTTCACACTTTCTCTGTAATTAGCGATATTTTTAGGGAAAATATAATCGCTTTCTCTTAAAAACACATTTTTCACTTTTTTTCTTAGAGATTATACGAACTGTTACCAGCATTATTACTGTATTAACTGATTAATTATTGTCGTTAATTAATCTTCTACAGTTAAAGTTATTTTCTCTTTGCTAGTTAGGGATTACTAAACATGGTTGCACAATCTCGTCATACGTAACAAATTTTTGCACGTAACCTAAATTATTTACCGCCATTTATAGTTAATAAGACCACAATCTGTAGGAGGTGGTCAGCATAGAGTAATGCGATCTGGGGACCATTGAAAACCGGAGAATACTGAGTAGTTGTTCCGTCCTAACACAGGAATCCCTAGTAGTACTCACTCATAATCCAGTCAGAGGTTGAATTCAGGATCTTCAGGCCCCATGATCAACTCCTACGTATTGGATATGCTTAGGTAGGGTCATGTGATACTCCTTGAAAATTCCAACCAACTTATCATTACTTACTTACGCCTGTTACCCCTCGTGGAGGAGCATAGGCCGCTCACCAGGAGTCTCCATAGAATTCTGTCCTGAACAATTCTTTACAGTTCGTTCCAATTGCTATTCATCCTTTTCATATATGTTTCCAATCCCAGAAACAGTGTGTTCTTCGGCCTTCTTTTTTTCGATTTTCCTTCAGGATCCCAAGTTAACGCTTGCTTAGTGATGTAGTTTGATTATTTCCTTAATGTATGTTTTATCCACATCTAACGTCTTTTCCTAATTTCCTCTTCATCTGGAAGCTGGTTTGTTTTCTTCCGTAGTAGATTGTGTCTGACTGTATCTGGTCAACGGACATTGAGTATCTTGCGTAGACAGTTGTTTAAGAATATCTATACCTCTTTGATGATGGTTGTAATGGTTCTCCAAGTTTCAGCTCAGTACAGTGGAACTGTCTTGATGTTCGTATTAAAGATCCTGACTGTGATGTTGACCAACAGTTATTTTGAGTTCCATATGTTCTTCAACTGTAAGAATACTAACCTTGCTTTGCCGATCTTCCCCTTTAAGTCTTCATCAGATCATCCATGTTCATCGATGATGCTATACAGGTACGTGAAAGATCCCACATCTTCCCGAGTTTCTCCATCAAATGCGAGGGAATTGGTTTTTTCCGTGCTGTATTTAAGGATCTTGCTTTTCACTTTTTTGCATGTTGAGGCATATTGATGCAGAGGCTGCTGATACACCGGATGTCTTTATCTGTTCGTGTCCATGGGATAGAATGGACAGATCATCTGAGAAGTCCGAATCTTCTAATTGATTGTGAGCTGTCCATTATATTGCATGCTTTCCCTCAGTTGTGGAGGTCTTTATAATCCAGTCGACTACCGGAAGAAAGAGAAAGGAGGAGAATGAGAAGCCTTGTTTGACTCCGGTCTTCACTTGGAATGTATCCATCAGCTGTCCTCCATCCACAAGTTTGCACTGTAGTCTGTCGCATGAGTTATGGATAATGTTGACAATCTTCTCAAGAACTATTATTTGACTGGTCCTTCTGATCTCCTACTTTGTCTGAACATTTCATGTACCTATATTAATTATAGGTCCGGACTTCCAAAAAATATCGGCTTTCACCATGAGGCATGATAATTCTTTTGAAAGAGGATCCTTCAAGTGTCAGGACATAGTTCAAATGGTTTGTTCTGGTTAGCGGGTTTTTTTAGCAGGGTTGTTTTCTACCGGATAGGTTGCCGAACACATGCCCCACCCTCTTCCTTTAACCGAGGTTGGGACCAGCAGTAAATCTAGAAGTGCTACAGGAGAATTTTCCAGCCAACACTATTTACCAATTGAAGCAATAATCACCACGAAATCACTTCGGTTCAAAACCAAATCTTGTCTTCTAACTTGAAAAGTTTCATATTTCAGTACTTGATTTACTTTTCTCAATCTTATAATCTGTTATATCCCCTGATGAACTATGAATGGTAACTCTAAGGTCTATTTATCGACCAATGTATTATGCCTATTTCCTATTGTACAGTTGTTACGTAACTAAACTATCCATATTCGTGTTTCTCTTATCATTAGCTTTATTTTGATCTTTGATTTATTATCATACGATTCTTGAGTTATAATATTTTTATTGATTACTTTGGTTTATATAAAAACTCAGTATGTTTGTAAATAATGATTCATATTGCCGAGGCTCTTATTTGTGTTCTGGACTTAACGGGCTGGGCTAGGCAGATAGGAAGGGCCGAATAGCACTGAAGACTGCTTGTACGATTTCAAGTATCATTTTAGTCCGATCAGTAAAATTCACTCCTCTCTAAATTGCACATTCATATATATTAAGAGAATCCATACGTTATAACATAATCTTAAGATCCTTTTTGTACAGCATATTTTCTTAGAATTTTGCTGACACTTCCAATACATATATAGTTCGCTTTCTAAATTTCAAGCTAACTATATTGTTTCAAATCCATTTGAAACAAAATAAGCATTAAAAATATTTTTTAATAGTCCGTGTATGCAATTGACAATATTAAGATACTTGAATATCGTTGTTATCGAGATGGTAATCGCCTACATACGTGTTCAGACTTGTTGCTCTTGACGATTTTACTGCTTTCAAAAGACCATACAAAGATCAAAAGTACTGAGTAATTTTGTGTATAATTTTAACTTTTAAAGAAGTTCGCTAACAAAAAGTTGCTTGTCAGAAGGGGGTTTTGTGGAGTTTTCAGTAATTTTATATGGTTGACATCATGAGTCAATTGAAGCTAGACCACCATGGAAAACCGAGTCTGACAGGTCCTGCGTTCGAATCTCGCGAGTGCGGGATCGTGGATGCACACTACTGAGGAGTCCCACAATAGGACGAAACGTCCGTCCAGTGCTTCCATGTTTTCCATGGTGGTCTAGCTTCAATTGACTCATGATCGCAACTATATAAAAAAGTTTTTTCTTAACAAAAAATCGTTAATTGTCTGTATAGAACCTAGAAACGTATTGTAAACATTGAACTTATAAGAAATTAAAACGCTTCCTTACAATATCTTGTGAAATTTAAAACAGATAATTCTTATTACACCATGATAATAATTGTAAAATTAACGTAAAATGTATCTTTATTGTCAGTGTTTGTTTTAGTTATGGAGACTAGGTATATCATAAACCACTGATGATAAAATTCATCATTCCACGTAACCTAGAATGCAAAGGAAGTATTTTCTATCATACGCTAATAATTCATGAGCTAGACTTGATGTGTAATTGAAGATACTTAAAATAATATCAATGAGTATATAGAAAATTAAGTTTGTGCTCAGAAATATCTGTCTGAAAAAACAAAACAATTTTACCCCTTTAAGAGATTTATATTAAATTGATTGGAATAGTTTATAGATCAGAAGCGGTTTTGTGGAGATTTAAGTATTTTCATAGTTGAAATCATGAGTCAATTGAAGCTAGACCACCATGGAAAACCTGGAAGCACTGGTCGGCCGTTTCATCCTATTATGGGACTCCTCAGTAGTGTGCATCCACGATCCCGCACTCGCGAGATTCGAACCAGGATGCACACTGCTGAGGAGTCCCACAATAGGATGAAACGGCCGACCAGTGCTTCCATGTTTTCCATGGTGGTCTAGCTTCAATTGACTCATGATTTCAACTATAGAATAGTTTAATCTATTTATAATGGTCTTATTCTGAGCGATCAAAACATGAAGGTTCTCTATCTAAACCATGTTCACTTGTCAATATCATTGAAATTTATGATCGCATGCATATGAAATAAGTTTGTTTTAATGGTTTATTTCTTAAAAATATCTTTAGACTTCGTTTCATAACGTAAATATTATTATTATTATTATTAAAAATGATTAATTAATTAGTTACCTCATTTGACAATGCTGACAACAAAAACAAGATAAATGATAAACACTATTTTTTATCTTCATAACAAATTCATACGATTGTACTTGTTTCTGACAGATGGAACATTCACCTGTTTTACCATACAATCTAAAATGTAATTTTGAAAAAAAGAATTAATAAAATTGTTCTCATATTGACATGTGTGTGAATTCGAAGATGGAATTTCCGAGACAGAACTAAAATAACTGAAAAGTTGTTAAAAATAAAGATATAATGGCAAGATCTTTAGTTCTAGTGAGATGACGTGATACGGGGAGTTGGTTGAATCAAAAGTATGACGTTAACTCACCAGTAACATTGATCATCAGCCATACTATACCACAAAATAGTTGAAGCTAAAGGAATAAAAGAATAAGTTTAAAGTTGATGGGTACTCATTTCATGCACGAGATAACCCTTAGGACAATACATTTGTTACTCAAAAGTCCCAGATGAGTAATATGGCTTATTGGAATGGCGTTGAAAGGTTCCAAGCTGTCAAACAAATGATATCATATGAAAATAACAACTTGGAAAAACCTTAGTTGTTTTGATATTTGGGCTAATTTCTGTCTTGGTGGTCTTCATATGATAATAAGAAGAATGGTATCCAGAGTCGTATAAGTAAACTTTACGTTTTACTATAATCAGTATTATTCTTACCTTTTGGTGTTGCTACAACAACAATTATTTCTGCGACCTTCCACACCTCGATTTATTATGATCATTTTATGTTGTAGTAACTGCATATAGTTAATACTCGCTTTTATTTGCTGTCTCCTTTAATACTATACGTACCGTGTTACTTGTTCATGCAATTCAATTTTCTCAGGAGATCTCTAGAAAGTCTCGGGTACTCTCTTCCTCGTGTGAGATTACCAGTGTCAAACTAACATCATGTATCAGGCATTTGCTATGTCAGTGAGACTATAATTGAAGGACGAATCAATGAAATTATGGATTGCAGGTCTTTGATTTTGGCATGAAATCTTTTCACCCATATCGTTAAACAACATCTTAAGATTATAGCTGATGTCGGTTAGTGATAAAAACTCTCACTTTAATTCCTAATCTTAAATTCTAACTTCAAATCCTAATCCTAATTCCTCATACTAATTTATAACCCTCTTTTGACCTTAGTAAGTAGGTGAGTAATCTCAAGGTCACTTTAGAGTCGTCCGTAAATTATAGTCTCACGAATTTGTCTGGTCATGTATAGATAACAAGTTCTACTTACAGAATCTCTAGTCGATCTTACTTAGAATCTTAACACTAGCAGTACTATAGCAATAGTCAAAAGTAAAATGCATCCCTCGTTGTACGGTCTTTTAACAGAATAAATTTTAATAGCTCATGGGAGTAGACATTCATTCGCAGAAAATCTAGTTCCAATCAGAAATAGACGATTGGAATAAAGCAACTTGGAATTTTTAGGAAATTTGATGTACTGATTGCCTGGTTACTGTTGATGACCACTAAAATTCCAAATGCAACTCAGTTTTATGAGAATTCTGGTTAGCGTTTTTCTTTAGAAAGGTTGTTTTCTACAGGATATAGTTTCCGACTCCACGCTCAACCCTCCTGCTCTAGCCTGGCTTGGGACCGGCAGTTTTATGAGAATACATGGTCGAAATTGACCTGCTGTTTAAAATGAACCTTTTGACTGATTTGTACTTAGTTTCAGATAGGCATAGAGGATAGCGCTCTAAATAAATTATTTTCCTGATTTAGTGGTTGATATTTGCAACTAAAGCTTACATTATAATTGACACAAACTTTCTGAGAAGTAAAATGGTGATATGATAGATTTAATTCTTTGGCGGTTAGGAAATAAATCTATCGGTTAACAGAAGTTTTTAGAATATTCGAATAATCGTTTAAAAACAGAAACTGATATAATTTATACATGGATTTCTACTTGAGTTTCTATCTTAAGTTAGGAACCAGCTTTGGTAAATTATATTTATTCATATGGTTATCGTAACAAATGAGGTATCTTGTCTAGTACAATAGATTTGTACTCTCAAGTAAAATTTCCATTTAAGATTTATGCTTTTCGTTGTTTTTCAATATCTGGAACGTAGGAAAGTATTATGCTTCCTGACTCACTTAATCTGTATTGTTGAGTGATTCAAAAGGAGTCAGTGTCATTTTTGAAATTCTGACAAATTCATAGTACAGTTAAAACAGACATTACTATGATAAGTATTTTGTATTTCAACTTTATGAACTAGTGTCATTTTAATTTATTGAAATACTTATCAATATTCACTGACTACTGACTTACCTTAGATAATCTCTTCGACATAATGACATCCTAGCTTTAATGTAGAAAATTTTATCTAATTCGGCTAATCTAGCATCACAGCATATACAACGTAGACAATCTTCATGCCAATATTGACAATCAGCTAATAAGTAATGACTTTCTTTGATGCACTGCTTACACTTTGAGCAAAATTTCAACTCTGACATTATAGAATTTGGATTGTTCAAATTTTCAACGATTTCGTTTTTAGCTGTGTTTAACATTAAACCATGTGAATTCTATCATCTGAATTTAATGAACTGTTGAAAAGGAAAGAAGAAAAGCTTAAGAAATATATGTGAAGTTTGTAAAAAAGAGTGGTTGTTGGACACAAGCTATTTAAGTTACTAAAATTTATACGATTAGATTAACTTTATGGAATGTATTGTTCAATGAGTTTGCATTTCAGTTAGTGTATAGATAAAAGTTAGTATTTCAAAAAAATATGTTCAGGGTTTTTCCACGTTGTCATATGGTACACTATACACCTAAGATATTGACTAAAAGCGAAATCACATTACAGTTTTGTTACTTGATATTAATTCGACTTTCGAGTTAATGTGCATTACAAGGCGATCCCTAACTAGGAATCCGGAAGGGAGGCGTAAAAGAGGAAGGCCAAAGAACACATTACGTCGAGGAATAGAAGCAGATATGAAAAGGATGAATAACAACTGGAAAGAACTGAAAAGGAAGGCTCAGGGCAGAGTTGGATGGATAGTGCTGGTGAGCGACCTATGCTCCTCGACGAGGGGTAACAGGCGTAAGGAAGTAAGTACTTGATATTAAGTCTTAGTCAATTACTTTTATATTTAAAGAAACCTTTCAGCATTATAAGCAGAGATGATAGTGGCTAGAAGTGGAATCTAGGACATGGGTTTCGTCCTATTTGGGACGGTACTTGGTTCCAGTTCGGCAGGGAACATCAACTCTGGAATGCAGGTACATCCAGCTGAAGAGTCCCAAACAGGTCAAAGCGCGAACCTTGAATCCTACTGCTAGCCACCATCCATCATTGCTTGTAGCGCCTATGACTGAAGGAAGTATCGAGGCAATCCGCGCAGGATGCAGATATGCCAATAAGAGACTAATCCATTGTAGTCCTAAACACCAATTGAAAGATTCAAGCAACCAATTAAACAATTCACCCCATTGCACAACCTAGTGGCTATTCGGACTCAGAAGTTAAGTAGATAACGCGACGGCGTTTGAGGAGAATGGTATCTGATTCGAGTCACACAGTGAACATCAGCTGTGGGATACCGATATATCCAGCTAACTAGTACAAGAACGTTCGGGATTATTTTCACTGGAACTAGTTAACTTTTGTCTAATTCGAAATTGCCGGACACTATAGTGACATACATAAGAATTATACCTAACATCTATGACACATAATATCGAACGTTTGCACTGATACTAGAAATGCTGTAAAGTGCCTACAATCAAAAACTAGGTTTATCTCCGTTTAAGTTATTTATCGCATTTTTAAAACATGAGTTTTTGAGCATCTGTAATAGACAGTCACGTTTGTGAAATTATTATTACTTGTATAAAAGTAGTTTAATTTTTGTTACTTTTTCTACATCTTAAAATACTTGAAACTATCTGTCAAGAAATGAGAATGCTTTTAAGGGTAATGTTCCATTCATAAAAGTTGGTTTCATTATTTGTAATATAATAAAACTACTTTTGAACAAGTTTTTCGAGAAGTCAAATATTTACTAATATAGGTATAGTTCGAACTACTGGGACAGCAACATTCAATTACTAACCATTTTCTAGTTCCAACTCAAACATTAATGAATATCAATCAACTCTAATTTAACTAGAAAATCCATGAGAAGTAGCGTTACATTACATCCACTATGTGGAGGCCTGTTTTCATCCCATTGTGATTAACAAATAAGTTGACATGTTTTATGTAGATAACTACTGATTTCATTACTCAATGCCACAATAAAGTAAAAAACTTGAGGAACTTTGGGTTTCATGACTCTGTTAAGCTGCCAACCAGTAATCGACAGTTTCTTGGTTCAATATGAAGTTAAAGACATATATATACTCTGTGAAGCAATGCTATATATGCACTTTTCGGTCAATTAAGTTTCAAAAAGTTTTAATCCAGTTAGTTCAAATACCTTAACGTGAAAAGCATTGAAAGACCAGTGTTTATCTTTTAAGAGGTAACGAATCTATAATAAATCTTTAATCCATGGTGCATATGTATCTCAAATTCTTTAACGTATATGTTGTTTCTAAATACCACTTATAGTAACGGTTCATTTAGAGATTAATTTTGTTCATCATTCGACATATGTAATTTTTTGATGAGAATATTATAGATATTTTTAATTAAAAACAGATAATTGAACATTTAAATGATATGACTTCATGGATTAATTAATCTTAAGGGACAAAAATCTACGACATAAATAATTAATCATTTTAGTGATTCAGTTTATTGTATGTAAAGTTTCAATGACCAAATTCTACTTAACTCATGGATGTTTACTTTCTTCTTTGTAACAATATGCTTCATAATCATTGTAGGCAAAGATGGATAGTGGCTAGCAGTGGAATCCAGGACGTGCGTTTCGTCCTATTTGGGACTCGTCAGCTGGATGTACCTACATCTCAGAGTCCATGTTCACTCTGTGACTCGAACCCAGTACCTTTCGCTTCAAACGCATCCGGGATTCCACTGCTAGCCACTATCCATCTTTGCTTACAATACTTGAGAATTAAGGCTATATCGAGGCAATACGCTCAGTGATGCACATATGTCAATTACAGACTGATCAATCGCAGTCATAAACATCAATGGGAAGATTCAAACAAACCATACTAAATGAATTTAATATGCTTCATACTTTACATAAAATCAAGTTTATCGAATGCAATCCGAGTGAGTTATACTGTACTCTAATTTTGAAATACTTAGAGCACGATTAATTTACATATTTACAAAAAATGTCAGTCAGTCAGTCAGCTACAACGTAGAACCAGGAACGTATATACATCGGTCCAAGTTGCCAAACCTCGGTAACACAACAAGATGAACACCGGATTCATAGAAGTAGTTAATTTAGGGGTGGTAATATATAAAAGAAAGGTTGTATATAAGGATATATTATTGGAAGGAAGGCGGATATGAAGCAATTTTAATCTCAAGGTTCAAGGAAAGACAAACAGTGTATACACCAGTTTAATTGATAGATCTTAGAAAGTAAGATAACACTAGAATTGGGTAATCATGAGAATATACAATAATAAAATGATAAGATTGGTTCATAAGTTAACTAAAATTTAGAAAAAGGATACAAGTATACTTCAACTACGTAGATTAAAAATAACATATGTACCACAATAAATTAAAAAATTGTTTTGTATTTCAATCTGAGCTTGATAAATATTTTGTTTCTCAGTTTTCTTTTGTACTTCAGATGAATTGAATTATTAACAAAATCACTTTTAAACTTTTAAAATGAATACTTGATAATTTAAATTTATTTTAAAAAATGGCGCCATCTAAATTTGTGATTCAATATTCAATACTAAATTAACTATTGCTTAAATGGTTGAAATCATGAGTCGATTGAAGCTAGACCATCATGGAAAACCTGGAAGCACTATATAAAATTATCAAAATCTCCACAAAACTTCCTTCTGTTATTTAAATATCAACATTCAATTACATTATTACAAGAGAAAAAATTAACTACCCTAGTTTAGAGAACAAGACTGTTTAAACTAAGGAAATTAACTGGAAATGATTAGTCAGTTAACACAATATCTGTCTTTTATGAATGAAATTTAGAGTACCCACAAAAGTAATTTATAGTATTCAACTTATTCTGAGGTGATATAAGTATGTAAGTAATATATTTACCGAAACAACACCATCATGAAAGACTATTTTGAATGATAAATAATAGACGGTCAAATTCCGTGCTAACATGTCAATAAAGTAGCTGCTTATGAAAGCTAGCTAATAGCTGACTTCTTTTTAAACGCTTACTGTTGATGAAGAATTCTTGATTGACTGTCATCTAATATAGTGAATATGAAACTAATAGAAAGATGAATGTATTTTACTAAAATTACTGTATTCAAATGCTATACATGATTTTATGCACCCTTAACTTATATTGCACCATTAACTTATATAGTCAACGTCTATGTTTATAACAAAGAATAAATATTTTTAAAATTAAGTATTGTTTAGACATTAAATAGGAATAACATATTTGTAAAATCTCAGCGAATTGTGTTTGAAGTAAATCCAACGTTTCGCCTGGCAATATGGTCCAAGCTTTTTCAAAGAATCATAATCTAACATCAAAGTTATCGAATATAAGAAAGAACCATGTACCTATTTATATTCGATAATTTTGATGTTTGATTATAATTCCTTGAAAAAGCTTGGACCATATTGCCAGGAGAAAGGGTGAACTTACTTCAAATTCATTTGCTGTGATTTTACAAACAATATTATTCCTATTTAATGTCGTACATCAAATCGGCGCTCAAATATTGTGAAACTATTCGCTCTAATTTAGACGAAAGTTTTTATATAAGTATTGTTTAATAAATGATAATCTCAAGCTAAACAATTCAAATAGTTTAACTACAATATTCGATAAGTTAAGAGTAAATTTCATTGAAAAAAAGGGTTTACAATTTGTTAAACTTACGAATTATTATTAGACGAGAAAACCTTGATATTCTGACAAACATTATTTTAATCATTAAAATCTTTCAATAATGAATAACAATCCAGGTATAAGTCACAGACAATAGAAACATAAACATAATGTAACTGTTAAAGTAACTATTATTTATAGCTGATTAGTTAGTTACTAGTGTTATTTCACAATTCTAATAAATGACAATAAAGTTAATGGTTTTGACGGATAGATAAGAAAAAAAGGAAAGAAAAGAAAAAAAAGAAGAATATAAATGCTTAATACTAATAGTTGATTGGTCAACTTAAACATAATTCTTACATTTCCTTATCATTCATTTACTCAAATGTATATAGTATTTAGTCTGTTTATAAATGTAAATGAACATTTAATTGTTATATGTGTATATACATACGTCTTAACTAGTTACATAATGCATGTTGCATGTTACAGTTAAGTGAACAAAGATACACACACACACAAAACTTGATATTAAAATTTGTGTACACTTTTGATCGTTACATTTCTTTTTGAATGATTGAATGAATGTTGAATGTTGAATGAAAGATAACAAGGAAATGTAATTAATTTTTTATTTATCTCATCATAATCATCGTTTATTTTAAATTATTTCCTTTAGTTTATTCAAATATAATTGTAAAAATTTGTTAGATAAATTGATAAATGATTTTTATTATTCGTAAATTTTATCAACAAAATAAGAAAATAAAAAAAATAGACGGAGGCAAACATGAATTATGAACAAATAATTGATAAGAAGATCACTAATATGACTAAAACACTAATTTCTAAACAAAGATGAATAGTGGCTAGCAGTGGAATCCAGGACACGCGTTTCGTCCTATTTGGTACTCGTCAACTGGAGGTACCCGCATCTTAGAGTCCATGTTCACTCTGAGACTCGAATCTAGTACCGTTTACTTCATACGCCATTCACGTTATCTGAAATGCAGGTACATCCAGCTGATGAGTCCCAAATAGGACAAAACTCGCGTCCAGGATTCCACTGCTAGTCACTATCCATCTTTGCTTAGAATACTTGTGAATTAAGGCTATATCGAGGCACAGTATGCACATATGTCAATTAGAGACTGATCAGTTGCAATCTTAAACATCAATGGGAAGATTCAAGTAAACAGTACCAAGTGAATTTTGTTATTTCTAAATATTTATTCAATGAGATAACTAAAATAATTCATTGGTTCGAACCATACTTCGTTCTCAGTTGTGTACGCTTATGCATAAAATTAATAGTTTTATCAAAGATAAATTAAATGACAATACAGTATCTCTAAACCTCCCAACTATTTTTTAGATCTATTAAGATGAACTTCCTAGTCTGTCTGTATGTGAATTATGTGTACAACACTTTAAATTGTTTTTCTTTACAGAATAAAATCAGCTAGAGAACAGCTTGAAATCATGAAATAGCGAATAGTTGTTTCGTCCTAGCCTGAATCCTATTCAGGAGTAAATATCGATGATCCTAAAATATATCTTTTTTCAACCTTTTAAAAAAGTATTACTGTTTACCTTTACCTTGGAGACGTCCATAAATCTTCTAAACAGCAGTTTACTTCTATGATTTCCTTAAAAAGTTTGATTCAAACATTATTTACTCAGGAATTCAATTAATAAATTATTAAGTAACCAAATTATATATATATATATATATCCTTTATTATACAAATCTGGTTGACTTATTAACCACTATTATACGATTTACTATTTTTAATTTATACTCAACCTATTATTCACCATTTCCCCTACTTTCAGCAGCTATTGATTTGATCACATGTAATTGTTATTCTTTATTTTTAGCATGATGCAGTCTGGTTTGGTTGCATTTAAATTGAGTCTGTTGGGAATATGATAACGAAATTGCGTTGATGATCATTGGTCTCGTGTTCCTCCTCTTCGTTCTGGCCTAGTTAGTATTGGGTCAACCGTCGAAAATTGAGCATCAGTCTTCTGGTCCTTATTCTGTATTGGTTGCTTAAGATCGTCTATGCGTATTAGCCGGTGCAAGAATATAACAATAGGTACATTCCAAGTTCATTCGCGTGCTGTGTTCCACTGCTCTCCACAATCCCAAATTATATATATATATATATATATATATATATATATATATATATAAATATATAAACGAACAACAGTCATTAATGAAAGAATAAAGAGAAATAATAGTCGCAGTAAGTCGCATACTGAAACATAACAAAAAACGTTAGATAGCATTTACTGAAGAATGTAGCTGAGGAACGGGTTCGTGAAAAATAGTGTAACAAGAATCTATAACGTAAATAGAATGTTAGTAAAATGCCTAAGTTTCTTGTTTCATCATTCGAACAATGATGATAACCATGAGGATCAAGCAAAGTGAAACAAAGGAGTGAAAAGATTAAGAGGTACAGTTTCTTAAATACAAGTGAAAATAGAGGTATCAGACTAAAATCAGTGTAAAAACAAGATGTGATGTATATTCCTTATCCATAAGATGTTTTTGAGATTTTTAAATTTGAAGTTTCACATTGTAGACTGTCTTTTGTAGTGTGATTGTTTCATTTTAAAATGGGACTACTTAGTCATTACATCCGTAACCACACCAAGGATTCAAACAATCAATCAGTATTTAACCTTCAGACCACTGATTTGGAGTTCCAACGGTATGCATTTCTGACTTTAGTCTATTTGTGATACCATGCGATCACCATCCTTTAATAATGGTGACATATAAATTTAATGTTTTCCGATGTTTAAAACAAATGTTTTAAGAAATTAGAGTCCTGATCTCCTCCTCTTATCTTTGGAAAAACATACAGGAACATGTTTTTGGATGGAAGCGCCAATTACGAACAATATACTTTGATCCATAGAAGTACATGAACCTATGGACAATCATAATTAAAAGTTTATCTTTCAAGCATATGGAGTTCAGTGTTAGTAGAACTTTAGCCGAACGAAATATTTTCTGAATCTCTCTAAACAAATTAAGGAAAAATTCGTTGAAAAGTAATATCTTCTCTAAATTTGTTGTGATTAATATTTCAGGGGATCTTTTTTGTACATATACAACATTTTTAAGTAAATAAAATTTATGAAGTTCTAGACAGTTTATTAATTCAGTTTCATAATGACAATGAGACTGAATTCATATAAATAAACAAATTTTGCTTACCTATACACGGTAATGATATTTTATGAGAAATTATGGCAAATTTATTATTTTATATAAATCAAGATATTATTATTATTCATAATTCTCTTCTATCCTTTTTCGTTTTATATCCTGTTTCTTTTAAGTCTTTATTCTACTTTATCGTGCTTACTTTTGTTCAAGTCTAATTCATCTGTCTCCGTGATATATAAATCCTCCTTTATTTTCCGTTCATTATATACTAACAGGATTAAGTGTATGCTTATGCATCAGTTTGTGTGTGTGTATGAAGAGGATGTGCATAGACATGTGTATTTATGCTTTGAAGGATATCTACTTTTTATTTGTGAAATTATTAAAAACGATACATTAAACATGTAACTGATCCCATGTATACCTAGAAACACAAGTAAGTTCACACACACATTTATATACATATATACACGCGCGAACACCCAAGAAAAAGAAATAAGAATCTAATGTGAACAACAGATAAAAAGATAATCATGGCATTTAATAATTATGGTAATTCTTATTATCATTCATTCATTCATTGATTACTAGATAAATGAGTGAATAGGATATACTTATTCTTATCATGATGATAATAATATTAAAATAAAAGAGGTTATCCAAGTATATATACTACATAGAATCTTTTTTAATATTCAATATAACACGTTTATTATCCGCTTGAGAATCTTATTTCCTATTCAATAAATCAACGTCTAAATTATACTTGTAGGTTTATGTGTCTATTCATATTATTACAGTTTGTGTGAATGTATGAGCATTGATACACCTTCATTCGTTATTGAGAGAGAGAATAGTTCATCTTATCACTCATTTTTTTTAATTATCAATGGGAGACTATTTAAAAGAGAACGATTAGTAGTATCTTGAAAGAAAAGATAAAATAAGCTAGAAATCTTATTCAAAAGCGATGATTAGATTAACGATACACACTATTAAGCATTTACTTACTTACATTTATACATATATAAGTGTTAGCAGAATTTAGTAAGCTGGTAAGAAGATTAAAACAAACGCATTCCCATCAGCATTATTATTAAAAAAAATGATATAGTAGCAATTAAATTATTATTTCTTTTGCACAAATAATTTTCTTTTACATATATGATTTTATGTGTCTTATCATTCTTACTTTTGAATGGTAATTAATCTTTTGATGAACTTTTTTATGCTTTATACTTATCATCATCTGAATTAAAAAAACAAGCTTTACTCCCCTCTTGTTTCTTTGTATTGATGAAGAATTGTACAGCTTATCTATCATAGCCTTATTATTATCATTATGGTCTAACACTTCGTCAATCCCCTTCCTCAGTTTATTCATATCTATCAGAATACTTAAAAAAGTAGAGCGTATTACAATCTAGTAAGCGAAAGTAAGTACAAAAAATTACTTGAAAAGATATAGTAATCAGAAATAAATTGATTATATTTACCCGATCAAGGAGCTTTATACAGTTGTTTCGTTATAGCTTGGTACTTGTTTGAAGGATGTACCTAACCAGATGAAAGACCCCAATGCTCCGCAGTCACTGATGCCACTTAACAATTAAAATAACATCTAAAGAACAATTTTGACTTGCTTATCTTTTTTTTTTAAAATTCGCGTAATTTTAGTGAGAAGCGAAGTTAAGCAATTTTATTTAGACTAATTAAAATAAATTGACAGACCATTTAGCTGAAATTCACTTTTACAATATATATACTTTTCATAAATTTCTTTACTTGAGAGTTTTCATCTGTTTATTCAAGTACTTGTTAATATGTATTACATTTTATTTTCAGTAAGATATCATCGTGAAATTCTTATTTATTCTATTTACTAAACTGTTACGTCCTCTACTTGGTTACGGCAGAATACAGTACAAAATTATAAGCACTCGAACGTGTATAATCCCACAGTCCCATATCAAAAGACGGAAGAAGAGATGAAAGTGGTTATTGGGTAAGAATCACAAATGAACAGAAAAACAGGGTTATAGTTTTTTAGTATCGGTTACAACATCATCATAATCCACTCAATCCCT